TTATTCACCTAGCTGGTAAATAAGAACTATTGGAAACACTCTTCCACAGTTGAGTCTAGGGAGAACTGCGTCATGGTGTTTGGTACGGCCTGAGCTGCAATGCAAATCACATCAGCCCCTCTCTAGTGACAGTCCTTAGATGTGGAAGTAAAAACGCATGTCCCATGAGCTGGGCTTCACAAACTCGCCTTACACACTCACATATGTCTCAGGATAAAAAACATGTCTTGACGTATGGGTGGAGTATCTGGGAGATCTCGTTACCGCAACATGCTCCACGAGTAGGTGTCCAACTGTCGATCGTCTGCCAGTAACTGTTGAGAAGATACGCTTGAAAGCTGTGCACGCAATGTAGAGACCACTCGATTATACACGCGGTCTGATTAGAACCGATCATCCAAGCGTGGGAGAAGGCTCTTTGTACAGACCATTCACAACCCTGAACAACTGCCATACACACCATCCTCCGTCCAGATGTATTAAGAGTCGTGATAGTAAAGCAAGCTACAAGAAAAACTTTTGGCAGGAGCTTAGTTATGTTCATTATAAAGCCTAAGCCCGATAACAGTGTATCCACGCAAGGAATCAAACAGTTATCAATGCGATTCTGATATGTATTGCTGAAAACCAACAAGAAATACTAGTAGAGCTAAATGGAACTAACTTGAAACTATTATAGCAGAAGACATCTGACATCAAATGTAAAAAAGCCAGCAAAACAGGTATCGTATACAGGGTATGTATGCCCTATCACCAATCAGGTCCCACCACAGAAGGGTTTAACACTCTATACAGAATGGGGGAGGCGTCGATGTGTGACTAGAGTGGTCAAACGAATGTACAACGATAACGGAAAGTTATTCATCTGCAAGAATGTCTCTATAGATATTTCAGTTGCCTTGCTGAGCGTAAAAGCACTGATTGTGAAGAAGGTAGGAGCAGTTAGCCGCAGTTTGTCTTGGTATAATCACGATCCATGGTAGAAAGAGTTTTGCCACAGACAGGTTCCTCTTGCAGACAGGAGGAAATGGAGCTGTTAAGAGGTGGGCATGCGACCTCCTCAGGACCACCTAGCTAAGCCCATCTGAGATCCAAAACGCGACAACAGCTACACAAAGAGCACACACGCACAATGCCAGGTGAAGGAGCTCAACACAGCACACAGAAGAACAAGCTAGCCTGTCCAAATATACCACACAGACGACGACGTATATCATCATAGCTTACAGTAACAGCAACAGACTTAACAGTGACAAGTAGCGCTTAGTCTGGAAGGATGAAGTTGACTTCTGCAAGATGTCAGTAGGTAACTGACCGGAGCACCATGTCGTATGATGATTTAGAAGTGACTGCTGTTCAACGATAGGCAAAACACATTTTTTTAGGATCGGTAGCATGCATTACCTTCGTCATAAATGGACATCTACGTATACTTAACGTTCAATGTAGCGCCTTTTGTGTGACAGTTTGCGTCCTGTCATAAGCAATGAGAGAAATCAACTGGGCTGATTGTGCATAGAGTTGGGAGGGAATTGACCGTGACAGTCAGACGAAGAGGTACCTCCTGGAGTTAAGAGTCAAGACCCCCAAAAGGTTAACTGTGAAGGGCTCACAAGGCTGGGTTTGTTATGCCTGGAGGAGATCGCTAACATGGGGCACGGAGCGTCAGACCCGAACAGCTAAAGAGGTTCTTTCCGGAGGTCTGGCAACGGAGGGAACTGAAGAGACCAGACCATGTCGAGGCTTCTCATCAGTCACAGGAGAGGGAGACTCGCTCCACAAGGACTGAGGATAGTTGGGAGGACCTCGTCTTAAGGGAGTGCACCACTGGGTTAAAACCGGTGGGCGGGAGCACATCCCCAGTCTGGTTCGAGGATGTAAAAGTGGGCAATGCACCAGTCTGAGACGCACTTCGCTCGCTCGATGAGGACAGCTGCAGTGGGGGTACAGAGAACGTTAGTTGAAGAGTCCTGAGATTCTGGAGGGAAGAGGAGGACCAAGAGCCTGACTCAGGGAAGTAAGGCGGAGACCAGGAAATACAACTGCAACAAGGAGAAAGAAGTTCTTGGAGTGGTGGAAGCTGGGACAGCATCGGTGCGGCCTTGAACCCAGGTGGTGGTGCGGTGTCGCTGCGGGGACATGCCAGCCAGGAGGAAAGGAAATGACCCTGGCAGAAGAAAGGGACCTGGAAGTGATTAAAGGGGAGGGGGCTGTCCTACATGGGCCAAAAGATGAACACTGCCCTGACATCCGCACTGGTACGCATTCTTACCATGGGACCGAGGACCCCAGCCCTCCACTTCCAACAACAGAAGAAGGAGTGGAGGGACTTCCTGAAAACAGAGAGCAGCTCAGGAAGGAACTGAGTGGGGCAGTCCGCCAAAGGCAGATTCACGGGGAGATGGGGCGCGCAGGCGCAGGCAGTAAACTCACCACAGAGATGATAGACTGGCTGGAGGAGGACCAGTTGTGGTACGTGAGCCACAGGTCGCGCCGAAACCCCACTCAGTGACGACACCAGTGAGACTGGTCTGGGAAACAGCAGGTCATACAGTTCAGGGAGGGTCAGCATGAACAACCTTCTGCTTAAGGGGGCCGGATGTGCTGAACCCCATCAGATCGGTTTACTCCGATTCAGTGCGGGGAGAGGCATGCAGTCCCTAGGGAGACATCCGAAAGATGTTACAACTCAGTCTGGAGTAAAAAGAAGCGCGAAGTCCCACCTGCACAGGTTCCTCTGGGGAGAGGACACCCCAGAGGAGGACAATCGGTGGGAGTACGCCATCACAGGGCTAAATATTGGCGGACCGACCCGCTGGGTGCATCGCACGTTGGCAATGGGAGGGAGACTGCTCGGCTGGCCCAGGTTTCGGCGCATATGGGGTGGGAAAGAACGCAGGTCCTGGGAGGAGGACATTATGTGGACGATTCCTTAACATCCCACAATGACCAAAGAGACTGGAGAAATCACCAGTAGGGGGTAGAAGAGATCCTTGGCGCCGGAGGCTTCTCCTCGAACATGGGTCAGGTCAGGCCAAAGGTGGGGAGGCAGGACTGCAGAGCAGGTCCAAGCTGGAGGCAGTAGCAGAAGCCAGGGTTCAAGGACCTACTGGGTTACTCGCCGAAACCAGGTTAAGCGGACGAGGGACAACAAAACTCTGGGGTTGGGATATCATGTGGGGAAAAAGATCATATCTTTACATGATGACTCGATCAACTTCTCAAGAAAAGAAGAAAAAGTATGGGAGTGGTGGGACTGAATCTTCGTGAGGAAAGGGGAGGTAAGGACCAGTAAACGCCTGACCCTTTTGACTAGAAGGGAGCTACTTAAGTCAAGTTAGTGGACTTCTATATCCAATTGGGCCTGGTTACGCCTGCAAAGCATAAGGGGACTATCCTCGTCTAGAAGGGCCTTCAAGAGGGCGGAGAGAGGAAGATTGACAAAGGAGACTTGGGACATCCCACTCTCAGGGAAACTCCGAGGAAGATGCTTCCAAGCTGTTTGGAAGAGTATGTGAGGCTGTAGTAAGGTCAAATTCCACAGGAGTCTCACGAACCATAACTGGGTGGAAAGGCAAACCGTGGGGGGTCACGTTTTCAGATGGGAGCGATGACGCATACGTGCCGTGATGTACCTGAGATGGAGTCCAAAGCAAGGGGGCGAGGTCAGGGGTGGGGTTAGTCAAAGGGCCAAGCTAACACCTCTCGACAAAAGGGGAGGATAGTCAAAGCTGAGATGTGCGGTGCCGGTTTTCAAGCTCGGTTAAAAGGGTATTTGCAGAAGGCACGGGACGTTGGAGGTGGAGCGCTGTTCCCACTTTGTTGACAGCAGACGTCCTGGGAGCCATCCAGCCGAGGAGCGCTACGGGTTATCAGACTTTCTTCGGCAAACAGGGTCGCGAGATCCAGGAAGGCCGGACCAGTAACTGACTGGTGGGTTGGTACCCCAGGGCCCACTTAACATCGCCGACATCGTAACAAGGAGGAGCCAACTCCTGAAGACCTTGGGGAG